GCGGGCGGCATGAAGACGAGCCGCCGCGGCCGAGCGCTCCTGGCCGTAGCCCTGAACCTGCTGGCGCTGCTCTTCGCCACCACCGCTTTCCTCACCACGTACTGGTGCCAGGGCACGCAGCGGGTGCCCAAGCCGGGCTGCGGCCAGGGCACGGGCGCCAACTGCCCCAACTCGGGCGCCAACGCCACGGCCAACGGCACGGCCGCCCCCGCCACCGCCGCCGCCCCAGGGAGCGGAGCCCCCGGCGGTGGGCTGTACAGCTGGGAGACAGGAGACGACCGCTTCCTCTTCAGGAATTTCCACACCGGCATCTGGTACTCGTGTGAGGAGGAGCTGGGCGGGCTCGGTGAGTGCGCGCGGCGCCCGGGCGGCGGCGGGCTCGGCTCCGGCTCCGGGCTGCGCGCCCCCGGAGGCCCGAGCCCCAATCCCCAATCGCGCGCCCTCCCCGGCGGCCGAGGGCCCGCGCCACCGCCGGGACTCGGTTCCTTGCGTTTCGCGGGCCTGGGTGGACGCTCAGGGTCCGGGGGCGCGAGCTGGAGCGCCGGGCGGGAGGTGGGCGTTTGGGACGCCCAGAGGTCGGAAGGTTCAGGTAGAGTCCCAAGACCCTCCGTGCGCCAAGGGGCCTGGGGAGCGCGCCCCCTGCGCCCCCATCCAGCCGAGGTCGGAGAGGCGCGCGCTCCTTCGGCGCCCAAACTCCTCGCCACACTCATCCCCACTCCTCCCCTTTCCTCCTGGGGGCACTAATTACTCCCTCCCTCCCTGTCCTGTCTCTTGGGTGGGCTGCAGGCGCTGCTGCCAGTTTGGCCGCCCCTCCCACTGTAGACCCCAACAGCCAGGAGAACAGGGGCTCAGTCTCTCGTCCCCAGCCTCGTTAAGTCGCTCCCACATGGGCTCACGGGCTCAGGAAGCACCAGAGTCCCGTGGGTTCCTGGAAAGCTAGTCTTGCCCAGAGGCAGCCCTGTGGCCTGAATCCAGGGAGCCCTCCTGGAAGGGAGCGTCAGGAGATCCAACATCGGCAGGGCTTGGCAGCCCTTGGCAGCCCATGGCTGCCTCAGGATTGAGGTGGGTGGGGAGCAAGGGCAGACTTTTCAGAAGGGGGGTCAAACACCTCACTTCTCAGGTACCCCTTCCTTTGCCCCCGAGGCAGGCAGCCAGGGGGTGGCAAGGCTCAGGGGAGCAACCCACAGGGGGCTGTGCCAGATGCCAGGAGGTGCTGGCCGAGACGCCCAGACCTCTGAGATGGGTGCTGCTCCGGGGCAGTTTGGGGATCCTCGGAAGTGAATTGATCTGTTTCTCCAAGGTTAGAATGGTTTAGGTGGGCCAGCACACCTCTCCACTATCGATGTGTGCGTGTGTGTGTGTGTGTGTGTGTGTGTGTGTGTGTGTGTGTACGCCCAACAATTATTGGTCCCCAATGAGCAGACTGGTTTGGCTCAGCTGGCATGGTTGACTCAGAGGGGCAGTTGCCAACTAGCCCCAGGTTAAGGCTCCAGGACTTTGCACTTGCTACTCCCTGTTTTCCCAGCAAGGCTTTTTCTTCCTTCCTCCCCAGGCTTTATCCTGCTGTGGGACTTTGTCTGACCTGCCTTTCCAAGTGCTCTGACACAACCAGAAACGTTGTGGTGCATCTCTTTGGTCACTTGCTTGCCCCAGAGGGCGTCACTCTGTGAAGGAAGGACCCTGTCAGCCGCTGGGTAGTGTTTAGCTCATAGTAGGTCTTCAACAGCTGTTTGCATGCTAAACGTTGGGTGAGGAAACAGAGGTTCTGTCAGGTGCTGCCTTCTCTGTCTTGCCTTCGGGGGGGGGGTGCCCCCAGAACTTTTCTGGAGCTTTCTGTCTCAGCAAAGCTGGCCGTTTGCCAGACACACACCACATCTGAAGAGGGTCCTGATCCTGTCTGGTTTCACCCTATAAGATTCGTTTTTGGTGTCTGCTCACAGTTCACATGTTCACTCTTGGTTGCATTTAAAAAAATAATCTTTTTACTAGCTTGGCAGAAATTGCCCGCCTTCTGCAAGCCTTCTGCAAGCTTCCAGCAGCCCAACCTCACCCTCCCACGCGGAGCTTGGTAATGCTCTGGAATGAACACCAGCATCTTTCGGAGTAGAGACACACCTATCTTCCTACCAGCTCCAGAAAAGCCTTGTAATGTTTGGTAGCCCCCGCACCTGGGACAAGTCTCCCTCTTCCCAGGTACCCCTCTTGTGAAGGAACCCAGCCACCTTGCTCCCTTCTTTGAGGGCAGCTTAAGTGCAACCCTTCCTGCTGCTGCCTGGCTCCGCTGGCCAGCTGAGCCTCTTACAGCTGCTGTCCCTCCTGGCCTCTCCCCAAAGACCACAGCAGGTATTTCCTTGACTTAGTAGGTCAAGCTTTGCATGTTTAAGCCTGAGTATTTTTGAAAATTATTAATTAAAAAATATTTTAAAAATCAGTGTTAGTTAAGGACAAATACCGTGTAAGACCATTATTATTATAAAAATAGGAGGAAAACTAGTGCAACAAGTTTGGGAGTCCAAGGGGGGAAGGGGTGGGAGCAGAGGTGTGAGGATGGGTGGGGGTGAATCTACAGAGTTGCACAGTTTGGTGGGTAGAGGGAGAAGGTGAAGGAAATGGGAAGGATCTGGTGGGGACCTGAAAAGACAGGGTAATGATGGACAAGGTGCAGTGGTGATTAATTTTATAAAACATAATGCATGGGAATGATTGTATGAAACACAATGTGAATGAAGAATAGTGTGAAACACAATGTATGTGAACTTTGTAAGCAAACCAGTATAATTTTTTTTTTAAAATCACTGTTAATTATTTTTACTGAGTGCTACACACCCGCCAAGCCCTGCGACTGTGTCTCAGCTGTTACTCAGTGATCACTTCACTTTTGAGGCAGATGCTTCTGGTATGCCCTCTTCTGGGTGAGAAATTAGAGGCTCGGAGAGGTTGGGAGATTTGTCCAGAGCCTCAGAGCTAGTGAGGGAGCCTGGCGTGTGTTTGCAGTGACAGGAGGGTGTATGGATACCAGTGATGGGGGAAGAGATGGGTGCAGGCAGGAGGCATAGAAGCAGGAACTTAAGTGTCATCATAAGAACCATGGCCTGGGGAAAAAAACACACACCCACAGTCATGGCCTGGACCACATCCTCATCCTATATCGATATTGTACTTTGTAGAAAAATCATTATGGTTGGTTCCTTGGGAAAGGAAAACCAACCTGGTTTTCTTCTTTTCTCTTGATCACTGTGTCTAGATCACTTTCGGTGTTCTTCTCTGGAAGCTTGGAAAGTAATTGTCAGCCTGTTGATGCTGCTGAGAAATTTGGGCGATCTGAGCCAGGTTACTGATGTCAACAGCCGAGCGCCCAAATCCTGCTCTTGTGCTGCCGTGGTCTCGAAAGGGTGGCGCCAGTACCTGGCTGTAAACTTTTGTTGCCATGACAACCTTTCTTCTGGGTTCTGTGACCATTTTTGCTTATAACTTGAAGAGGTAACAACATCTCCAACAACCAGCAGTGTCAGGGTCAGTGTCACCCAGGGCTTTATGTCATGATGTCACTTGTCCTGTGTCCCTTGTCCTATGAACCATCAGGATCCTTAGCTATGTTCCTAATCAATTTTCACCATGGACTACTATGGGATACTTATGCTAGTAAATGATTTAAATGTAGTATTTCTAAAAAAAAATAAATAAATGTAGTATTTCTTAGATTATGTGAATACTAAGAGTGAAATGGTTTTATAAAACCATTCTACAGTGAACGACCGTGCTATTAATTACAATGTCGTTCTTAACTATTTTTTTGTGTGTCTACCATCAAATGGGATCTGACTAGTACAGGAGGAGATTGTCCCTCCTTCTCCAGCAGAGCATCTTCTGGATTCGAACTGCACACCTCTGGGATTTCAGTGCTGGCAGAAGCCTTTTTTTTTATTTTTTTGTGTTTTTAACATCTTCTTCATCCTCAAAACGTTATTGATACAGGTTTATAAATATTAATTGCCACAATACTGCAGCTAACATGCCAGAAAAATCGACAGGTTCATTGACTAAAAATGATCTTGGCCACAGCCAAAGGAGAGGGGTGGGTTTACAGGTGAGAGCACGTGATTCCAAACATCACTGTAATTGGGTAAAATGACAACTCCGACCAGAGCCCACTGGAAGGTTCTCACTGTCAACTACTGAGCAGTTTTTAGCCTTGTGGGTATATTGCTACTTGTAAGCAGGGTTTAGGGAGTACTGAAGGCCTAGTGGCAAGAAGCTGCACTGCAATCCTGAAGGCACATGGTTCGAATCCTCCAGCTGCGCTGTGGGAGAAGGATGGGTCGTTTCCTCTTGTACTATTTACAGCCTCTGAAAACCCAACAAAGGGTCGAATATGGGTTGGTTCTGACTCAATGATCCATAACAATTACAACAAACTGGGTTTCTAAACAATATGTTTATTGTTATAACTAAGCACTGGGATATTTTTGTAAAAAAATAATGCATTTCTGCTGTCCCCCTTGCACGTTTTCTAGACAAGTCATTTTGGCGTCATCCCCTCTAACTGTCACCTGGGGTGGATCTCACCCCCATCCCTAGTCCTGCCATTGCCAACAACCCCCAAATGAAAATCCTGCCGTCCTCCCTTCCCAAGGAACCACAGAGGTGTTCCCTCCTGGCATTTTACCTTTGTCCAAATGAAAACCCAAACTGATCAACTAAAAAACACAAACAATAACCCCCCAGTCTACTGCCATCAAGTGATTTCTAACTCAGCAACCGTGAAATCCTACTGTCTCGTCAAGAAGAGCTGCTAAATGTTTGTTCCTTCCTCTCAAGCACCAGCTTGGTAATTTCTTTCTGTGCTCAGGGTAAAAAAAAAAAACCCTCTCCCTGCTCCGGGCAGCCACAGGGAAATCTAATAAGCCCCTTTTCCCACACTGAAAATCGACAGCGCGGACAAAGAGAACTGCAGCCTGTCCCAGACAGAGGCATTCTCCCCAGACCTGGCACAAAGAAATCTCTTCTCTCTGCTCCCAGAGAGAGCACCCAGCTCCTTCAGCACACAGAAGAGCAAGCGTGGCCAGGACACAGCAGTCTCTGGGCTGCACAGACTGGGGCTTCTCTTAGGACTTGGGGGTGTGTGTCACAGAAGTCCAGGCTTAAGGAGGGACTGTGGGGTCTGAGGTGGGAAGGGGAGGCCCGGTGACTGTACACTGAGAGTCTAGCTGGGGACTGGCCGTGGGAAGGGTGATTTGGAGAGGATAGGTGGGAGGATGGAGGAGAAGGGAGAAGAGCTTGAGGTCAGTTGGGTACAGATGGGGAAGACGGGGAGCCACATGTGACCCAAGTCTGGGTCCTCTCTTT